AATCACCTTACCACCACTATCTTGGTATCTCCATTTCAACACGGGTTTTTCCGAAACTGTTCTTGTGTGACGGTTATGCTCGTAATTATCAACAAGTTAACCCAAGTCTACCTTGTGCGAACGACTTGTAATCCTGGATTTCTAATGTCAATGCCCTCCAAAAGGACGTTCTGCAAACAGTGGTCGCTGGACTAGCACCATCCTCTGAAGGACGAAGTTTGTCGGTATCTTATTCGGAGGAGACTCAGCGAACTTTTTTGTCGTGTTTGGTGAGAATAGACCAGAAGGCATCACTGAGCTACAAAAATGGTTGTCGGACTTAAATCCGTGGACATAGAATGCAACTCGTGGCGCCTGAATTATTTTTTCTTGCGTATCGTCGCCTCTCAGGAGGTCTACCTGTTAATTGTGCCAGGTTCGGTGAACAGATTTCCCCCGGTTGACCCAAAACACGCACGGCGGGGACACGGTAATAAGATTTTCAATCTCAGAGCAAACACTTACATTAGGCAATTATTTTATTATTTTCGGTTGTTGCTGCGTGAAACAACCTTCCCCCGACGATTGTCCATGCACCATTTGGAAATCAGTGTATGGTCAATTACGTTGACATTTGAAACTCCCCGCATGTATTCTGTCCCTATTTGTAACCTACGCTCCTGTTTCTGTGTTTAGTGCGTGTATATGCACTGATGTTTGTTTGTCCTCACTACTTCACTCATTTTGGCCTTGAGGTCGTCCAGCCGTTTGTGGCCGACTTTTATGCACTTGTGACTGTTCCGTGTGTTAGCCTCTTCGCTCTTTTGGTTCGTACATTTATATTCCAAGTAGACAATTTATTTTGGACGAACATCTGCTGTTGAGCTTTGTGTAATTTGCGAATTTGTCCTAGATTAATAGTACTGTGAGGAAACCCAGCTCCGACTTTGTTTTGCCTTCCCGGAGGTTCTGGCGTTACGCGTCACTCGAAGATGAATTTCGCCCGTTACGCCCGGTTCACCGCACTGTTACACACATGCGAGTCCTCAAGCTAGCAAACCTACCGCCTCACGCTGAGAACTTAAAGAGCAGTGCTGACTTAAACAACAATGACAAGGTCAAAGAGCGGTTTACGTCCTGGTGAAGATAGAAGGATACGTTTGGCGAAAACAGAAACAACGAAAACGAAAAATCGCATCGTACAAACGTATGACATTTAAAAATGAATGCGACACGCATGGGAATCAAAAAGACTCAAAAGATTCCAAAAGATTCAAACTATTGGGAGGATCGAATGTTGATTGTGTCAAAGTATTGATAGGTCGATTGAGTCAGGGGTTGGTGATGGGTTTGTGATCCGTTTTCTGAGGTTTGCCAAAATGTCTTTAACATTCCACACACATTACCGCATGCAAAAGCAAGGTAAAGATGGTTGGTGGATTCTGTCGACCATATTAGAAGGTTTTTAGGGAATAATCAGTGTCAGGTGGTCCGCAGAGAACTAAGGCGAACGACGACGTGTGGTAAATGATCAAACTTACCCGACTGTCAAACTCCATCATCAAATAGTACTTACTGTCGCACGAACGCCCATGTGATTAACAACATTTCTTAAATGCTAGTGGATACAATACCAATATCGACCATCAAAAAATAGTTCATCCCGAATCCAACAAATTTAGGATATCGAATGACGTCAACTAGAGAATAAGATCTCGATACAAAAGCCACTGGAGAATTATGAAACCGTGGCAGCTGTCCTGTTCACTTATTCGACCTAAGGAAACTAATTCCTCGTCGAAAAAACCATGCAGTTTATTAGAAATAGCTAGCCTATCAGCCTCACCAGTGGAATGAGTCACACGGAGGCCATCTTCATGGCGTGCAGCCAAGTCTGCTGTTACTTCTGCACTTCAAGCTCATTTGTAGTCAGAGGTGATGAAGTTGAATAGAGTGCCGTAGTGAGTTTGGTGGGGCATCATTATCTTGTGGTCTTTGTTGCAAAGCCAAATCGGTTGATAATATATTGCGTCTACCAGATTCCAATGAGTTTGACGTGCCAGAGAGTAGGCAAAAGCAGCCAGTAAATGTACAGGGCGTTCAGTGACTTCGTGGGAGAAAGTTAATAAAGCTACAGTCATGTTTCGTATGAGTATGTTGCCACTTGGTATCCGTTCACTCACCGTTGAAGTTGATGTCCATATTCCCCTTTGTATTAAATTGCGATTTTTGTATCCTCAGAACTGCCGGTTTTCAAGGTAACAGAGCCATCCTACAGGGGCATTGTTTAGAAACGCATTATTCCTTATCCGATATATGTGCATATATAGCAGAGAGAACGATTTCCTCGTGAGACCTGAAAATTTATTTTTCTGCATGGACTTTTTCTTGATGTTGCTTCAAATTATTTCGTGTCTATTATGCATGTTTTCAGCCCACAGTTAAGCGGACCTCCCATGTTTGCAGTAGTCAACCTCGCTATGCATCCCGGAGGAACGAGCTGCCCAGAGCCAAGCGGGTCAGGCTCACGGAAATGGACAAACAAAACTTGAAAAGAGAACATTCTAAATGCCGTTTCACCATCATCAAAATTCTCAGAAAAGCAGCGATGAGGCAGATCATGACAGCAACTTTCATACAGATCAGTGTGACCATCTGCTGGGTTCTCCTAACGCATTTAAATTAACTTTGGTCATCGAATTTGAACCAACACAATCTTAGCCAATTTACGGTGGTCCTAAAATGGCCCACACTATTGCTAAATCAGCGATGCGGTTCCTTTCCCGACCCAATTTGTAAGTACCTATTCTACAGCACTCTGGCCGATTGCTACCTCTCTGGTAAGGTACTTCCTAAGGCACTTGAAGCTTAATCATACAATTTTGAAATATGAATAAACTCAATAGATTAACTTTGTTTGCAATAATTTTAAGTACCTTTCCAAGTTAAGCTTACGACCTTTACTCTGATCACGCAAGAACGACCATAGTGCCTTATGAAAACCGCGTGTGCTGCGAAAATGCTAGACAATAACCGGTTATCAGATGGCTGCTCAAAAGATAACGACAAAACTTACGACGCAACTCCTTCTGAAATTCACTGTTAAGGTCAGCTTACATCGAATAGCGGAAGCACTATTACGGGTTCTGAGCAGTTTGTTCAAAATCGGTGCATCGGTGTGCCAATAGACTTGTGTAGCAAAAAATGCGACTAGGTCATTGGGGTCCCTGTTTTTAAACCCCGACGGGTGGATCATTTGAAAATGTTTTGGGGCGACATAAAATTCTCAGGTGATCGGCTGCATGTAGTAGGCCCTCTCCGGGAATGGCCTCCCAATGGGCGACAGAAAGGGGTAACTAAAGTAGCGCTGATTCTTACCGGTTCCGCCATTTTTGGCCCTTCATCGCGCTCGCCAACTGCATGGGAATTGTCCTTGTTCTAAAGAGGTAAATGAAACTGACCTTTCTATAATAGCTGAGCATGTCGGCATTACTGCTCTATTGATGTATTTAATTCAATTCCAATGCCTTCCCTCGTTCGTGTCAACTAATCTAAATATGTTGTTATCTACTTATGATTTCTTGCTGGCAAGTCGATGTCTTTAGCATTTGATAGATGAAATGTAGTACCAACTGATTTAGCTTTGCAACAGAGACCACAAGATACCGATGCCGAACCAAAACCACAACCTTACCCTGTTCAACTTCATCACCTCCAACTACAAATGAGCTTGAGGTTCAGAAGTAACAGTAGACTTGGCTGCACACCATAAACGTGGCCTCCACGTTACGCAGTCCACTAAACGAAAGGTGTAGACTAGGGAGCTTGACAGGTTAACTATTTCTAACAAACTGCACGATTTTATTTGACGAGGAATTAGTTTTCTCAGGTCGAACAAATGAACGGGACGGGTTTCACGGTTTCATAATTCTCGAGTGGTTTTTGCATTGTGATTTAATTTTCCAGGTTATGTTGTTTGATATCATAAATTTGTTGGATTCGGGATGAAATATTTGTTATTGGGTGGGATTGGTATTGATTCCACTAGTTTTTAACAGACATTGTTAGTCAGATGGACCTTCCGCGCGACAGGAACCATTATTTGATGATGGAGTTTGACAATCGGGTAAGCGTGATCATTTAACATACATCGTCGTTTGCCACAGTTTTTTCCGGACCACAAGACACCGACTATCCACTAAGAGTTTTCAGATGGCCGGTGCATTTCGCTCAGCAGCCGGCCATGTCCTGTCACCTGTCACTCCTTTCTTCAGGCTATAGTATTGCTCACGTTTAGTAAACGTTCAGTCATATATGAGAAACCCTCCATTACCTAAGAGAAGCATCACAATCTTAGTTTATTTGCTGTTTCCGAAGGAGATCAAATTGAGGCGAAAAAGTATGCATTCACTGTGTAGCATTATTGAGGTCTTGCATAATTGCATTCCGAAAGTTGGGACTGCCAAATTGTGGATATACATTTAGGAAAAAACGGATTTCAACCACAGAAACCGAAGGTCAAGGTGAAGTTACACTTTGAAAATCGCTTGAACACTGAGACAATTTACAGTTAGTTCTGGTATGTACTCACACTCATTGAATTTGGATACCTCTGCTTACATTGCTGCCTGAAAGGCCCGCGTGAAGATAGCCGCGGAAGAAAATTAGTGAAAACGGGGAGAATTTTGTCACTAAGACGAATAATCGTGTGTCTTCAGGCTAATGTTTGAGCATGGAGAAAGCACACAGAAACAGTAGATTGGATTGGCTGAATCTTTCTAGTGTGCATGGCCAACACACCAAAATTCGGTAGATTTCTCCAGGTTTCCTCATAAAAAGTGGCTTAGACGAAAGAAGCTACTCACAAGGTTGCTGAAAAATCTTTGACAGCCCACGACCGGTTTTGCCCTCCCTAGGGCTCATCGAATGGGCGCACTCGCCGAGTTTCCGTCAACCTTACGTTCTACTTCAACCCAAATATCTTGCCATTTGATACATGAGAGGGGATTGGTGCAGAACACTCAGTTGAAGAACATCATCAGTGAAATATTAAGCTGAGTTTCTGGTGAAAACCGAATTGATATGAAAATGAGTGCATGTTCCGACATCAGTCCTATTTGGGTCCAAGTATAACATAAGTTTGAAGTAAAACCGGGAGCTGTGCCTACCCGACGAGCTCCAAGACGGACGAAACCAGTAATGGGCTGACAAAATTTTTCAGCAACCTTCTAAATAGTGCCCTTTATGAATATATAGTGCACTACCTAGAACTTCGTGTCAACTGAAACATGATAAAGCTTTTGTGGACCCCATTCAGTTGAAGAATATCATAAACGAGACATTTAGTTGAGTCTGCAGTGAAAACTATGTCGAGTTGCAAATGTGTGTATTCGGTTACACAAACCTTATGAAATCATGTTGAACAGCAGCTGATGGTACGTCCATGCAGTGTACACCAGAGAAGAGGTTAATGAAAGCAATAGTGGGAATGGTTTCTCGGCCAACCAAGTATTTAGGGACCACAACTTTGTTAAGAACCAGAAAAACTAATAACACATGGAGAAAAACAATACAAGCACAACAGTGACTTCGAATAAATATATGCTGAAGCGACCAAATATGCATCTATCGTTTATCTTCAGGTCGCACAGTGCGAAACGCGGACACGGTCATTTAATCTACTTTCATGTAGCGTTGCCATCCAGAAGTATATGTCCCACTCAGTGACGCGTCCACAAAAAGTGATTCGACGCACAGTCCACTTGGATTGTGGTAGTAGACGGAGTAACACTGTGGATTGTGGTGACACCTGTTGACGAAAGGAAGTGCGTTGCAAAAAGTAGACCGCATTCCAGTCAGGAGAACTAGTTGATATGAAAATGGCCACCTGATAGTCATGGAACAGTTACGATTTTTTTCATGGATTTTAGGTCAATATTTAAAACCATCCTAATAGAGCATTTAGGAACAATACACGGATGAGAATACCAGTGTCGAGAATAAATAACGAAACAGGAGTATGAAATAAAGTCGCATTAGCGAAAAGCGACAAGCATTCGGTTGAGTAAGTCAATCACACCTTGGTGAGGAACTCCTCACAACAGACCGCCAGCAGCATCCAAGCCCTTAAAGGAAACCAGGGTTGTTTGTGAAAGCGCGGACATTGGTAGAACTCATAAGCATATTTCTCCAAAAGCGCTATGTTAAATCCACTCAGCATTACCTTTGTTCATGTGCAGCTATGCAAAAGTCTTTCGGTTAGTTGTGGTACTGCCATTCTGTGGATTAGTTCATAGACACTGTCTTAATTCACTGTGACCTGTTTTGACTTAAAACGGCACGTTCACACTTCAAAATGTGAAAATTAACACACACTCGTACATTATTTTTGTTTTGGATCAACTTGTCCCACATGCTTGTTGCAACCCAACCGTGGTCGTTTTACTCGGCTCGTCTCTCTGAAATAACCATCCCTAAAGAAGATAATAAAATACATTTGTCATGAGTTTCTCATGAGTAGGATGACGGGAAAACCTCCATGTAGGACAAATCCAGAAAAAATGCACAGGCTATGCATTAATAGTCAAAGTGACGTAAGCAAAACATGAAAAGATTTCTCGCCAACAACTTTACCGCGGGTCTCTTCTGTTTGTCTTCTTGACTTCAACGTAAAATGTTGATTTCCATGAGGACTCTAATGAGCGATTATTTCATTCATTGATACACCAAGAAGAATGTGATCCATTGTAAACGACTCTCCTAAAAGGGGTCACTGATTGTTACGGTGACATACTAAACGGTCTTAAGTGGGCTATGCGCATGGCAGTTTCGGAGTATCAACAGCCAGAACAGACATCTATCAATCTGTCAAATCGCCCGTCTCAGCCGTCGAGTATTTGACCTTGCTTAAGTACACTGGCAACAGATTAGCGTTTTATACAGAAGTTCGGTCAGTCATGAGGGTCACGGTAATGAGAACTGTTTCGGGTTAGTACGGAAGATCTCTCGAAACATGATATAGTAATTTTCAAGTTTATGAAAAAAACGTTCAATCGTGTAAGTTCGGTACGGACTAATGAGAAATATTTGTACAGGTCACAAATAATCAAAGGCTGGCAACCCTGTAAAACCACTCCACTACGCGCTTAATTCCGGTTGGAGCCTTTAGAAGAGATGTGTGACAATGGGACAACCGAAGTTCACGCACAGAATTTATACGGAATTAGCCGAAAGCACCAAGCAGTCACCAACCCTTTCTGTATGTCTGATAAACGCGCAAGTGTGCTTTTTACCCGGCTGGGCACGTACGCTAATAACAAATGCATTCATAGATCGATAAATACTCTCATTTGCATACGGATTTGACTGCTGTTTAGCTTTGGTACTTAAAAAGGCAGACTTACTGAAACAAGCATTGTCCCAAAGAAGCTGTTATAGTATTCTGAAAGCATCCCTCACCGTTGTCTAAAAACATTTCGTACTGTCCATCCGGCCAGTCCTGAATGAAAGTATGTATTTGCAACGAATCCGTTAAACCTGACATTTTCTGACGAAGATCAATTTCACATACCGCCCAACTATAAATTTGTCTTTCCCCTGTGGTGATCAATTTTTGGGTTTGAAAGTCCCAAGGTGCATGAGTATTGCGAGAACTGGGCGGAATCGTTCCCCAAGGTAAAGCGTTCTCATCAGTCATTATTGGTTTGTAGTTCTGCGATGTTAAACGCCAACGTGAAGCCGAGGCATTTTTCAGATCAATTTTTGGTTTGAAAGTCCCAAGGTGCATGAGTATTGCGAGAACTGGGCGGAATCGTTCCCCAAGGTAAAGCGTTCTCATCAGTCATTATTGGTTTGTAGTTCTGCGATGTTAAACGCCAACGTGAAGCCGAGGCATTTTTCAGCCGTAAGTGTGATGATATTGTAGTCGGACTCAATGAGACATTAACATTCGTCAAATTGATGGATGATAGCATTTGGTAGTTATTTCCAGTAAGACTACTTCGAAGACCAACCGCTGTCCCAATATTTATGCAAGCATAGTTTGCGTCGCAAAATTCACCTTCAAGGCTTGTTATACCATAGCATTTGTTCGGAGGTTCAAACTTGATGCAGGCATTAGGCATAGTAGATTGACTTCCTCTTTGACAGTTAATGGTGATTAAAATAAAAATGTAATATTGTAGAGAATTCCTCAATTTGGCCATTTGATTGTATTGAAAAAATGAACTAGCCTGCACTGCACGGCTTTTGTTGTCCAAAATTTTTCGTTGCCAAGATGAACATGTGTCTTTATATTCATTGAATTAAGGCCTCCAATCAAAATCATTGATACAAAATTGGTTGGCAGTTACACGACCCTTAGCTGTACTTGACTGCTTGTACGTTTCTCAACACTGGATGAAACTCCAACAAACGATGCAGACTAATAATATATTGAAGGAGTTTACGTGAAGTTAGATGTGGAACAAATTACGCGGTAGAGAGTGTAATGATGGGGATTGATTGGGGGGATGATAGGGATCTGATTGGCGATATTGTAGTTCAGGATTGGACACCATGAAGTTAAAACGTTTATTTTGTCTTCAGAGAGGTGTTTCACAGATAGTTTACGTAAGAGCTTGTGTACTACAAGCAAAAGTGTACGAACTGGAAAAAACTACAGTAATGTGTTCTCGAATCAAGATATACATAAGGAATTTCGACAAGAAGAATTAAACTACCGTTTCAATGGAAATTATCAGTAATTCATGATGTATACTTGTTTTCAGACGAAATCAGCTGTTTTGCACTGCTTATGAATCTCAAAGGAAATTGATTCATAAATCCTGAACAAAAAGTGACTAACCAGACTTGTTTTTGGTGCATGCTTCTTATGTAGGCAGTTAAAATGTATAAAGTGATCTCCATTTTTTTATTGTGACAACCCAGCATACCGGAAAAGGATTCGGTCACAACTGTCTCCCCAGTGTATTCCTGACTGACTTGCTTGCGAACAAATCTGGAAACAGTCATCAGTGTGCTGCCTTAACCATTCAGCTGTAATGCCCTTTCGGTGCCTAGCTGCCGTGCCACCCGAAGTTTCCAGGAGGGCTGGGATACTGCCAGGTTGCCCAAACCTAGACAGGGGAAGTCGAGAGGCAGAGGTTGGGTTCGAACCATGGACCTTCCGGCCAGTAAATTCGCGCTCCATTAATTTGGGCTATCTCGCCCCTGCTGCCTTAACCAGCTTCAGATCAGAGATATGCAGACGACGTCGTTGATTGCTTCCAACGCCATATCCAAAAACACGTCCATCATTCTTCAACATATATCGTTCGCCAGTGCCATGGATCAAGGTAAAAACTGTGCTTTAAATACCGCGGGGCCACTTGCGAATTCTGCACTCTCTAGATCACCGAGTAAACAAAGACGGTCAAAAACCGGTTTAACGCAGCCATTGCCGTCGAACCGGAAGTCCGTGCTGTAATGTTGGAGACCATAAACCAACTACTCATGACGTCTGATGCGGCCCGCGATGCCACCAGAACTTGCGACACCAAACCTGTCCAATAGAAGGACTTAGACGGAATTTTTCCAACGACGGAGTTTATTAGCTTCTGTCAGAATCTGTCCTCTATTCGACGACTGGATCATTGTTCTCACCGGACTTCGTCTCCGGGTCCTAGCACGTTTCTATAATAGATAGATAGGGATAAGTTACATGAAGGTACTCGCATGTTCAAAGTAAAGCTGCTGTGTTTCTTGTTGGCAGCACTTGGGCATCTGAGTAGGGACAGCGGTAAGAGACAAGTTTAACTGAAGGAATAAATTGATTTAGAATGCAAGTGGGAAATTTGAAAGAAAACTTCCTCTTGAATTAAAACACCTGGAAGGTTTTTATGCATGGAATAATTATTCGAATAGCTTCCATTATTCGGAAAATAATTTTGTGGCAAAAGTCAAAATCTTGGTTTTCTACCCCAGCTTTTTTTACCCCAGCTTTCTAATCAGAATAAACTTGGTTATGAATAGCATGGAAAGTCTTCAGGGTGTTTTCAAGGAGGTGTGGCACGCTGCCAAACTGCTCCTGGGTTTCCACTCCATAATAACAAAATCGAATTTGTTTATAAACGACCTAGATTGGTTTCCATCTTTGATGTATACTCATTCAAGTGGTTGTACCGAGCAGCATATCTTGTCTGTAGTGAGAGCGTCTGGGATAAAAATCATGAAGTTCGCCAGAGGGGGATGCACAGTAGTGAAAACAGACCAAATTCTGGGACACGTTTTTTTAACAAAAAAGAGGCCATTTAATTGAAGGAGATCTGGGTTGGATAGGCAAGCAATATTGCACAGTGTTTTGCACACATTTGGGGTCATTAAAATTGCGTATGTGACAAATATCCAGAAGGATTGAGACTCAGGGTAAAATGATTAGTGGTTCAACGGGAGGACACAAGCGACTGATTTGCGGCGTTGGTAATTCGCGCTTCCCAAGAACGTAGCGTGATTCATCATTCAATGACTCAACCGCTCGGTGACGATCTGGCTGACTCTTATAGTGAAGGGTGTCCCCTTATGTTCCATCCAAATACTAGTTAATAGCATTACTGGTTGGCTTCAGGCGGCTGAAGGTTTGGACCTCAACACCAAACTGGCTGATTGCGAGTTCAAGTCTCCACAGAGGTTTGCGAGATGTGTAATGTTGATGATCGCCGACAGGCTTTTCGGCTTTTTGGGATAAAATGGCTTTAGTACCGAGAGGAAATCTCCGTGAAGGCTTCTTTGACTTCCCCATTCCAAAAAAGTCCTTTAGCATTCGTTGCGCATCTTGTGGGATTCCACCATCACTTGAGCGCGCAAATCGCCTTTCAAGTCGCCCCCTGTAGTTCCTCTATCACGTCAGGAGTGACTAGATTCTGAATGTCAACGTTTACCTGGGTGATGTGCATTAGGCTGTATAAACCTAATGTCTGCGCACAGAAGGTTTCAGCTGTATAGTCAACTGCACTTCGTCTTGAATAAACGTATCCAAATGCACAACGCAATAATCTGAATAGTCCTAGGCCAGCCTCTCTGGAAAATCGTTTTCACTGGCTAATCAGTTGCTTTTAACAAATGAAAGACTATGCGGCGTGTACCACCTGACATTGGGGATCAGATGTTCGTAAGAAGTGCAAAATCCCTGAGTAGTGAAATAATCGTAGTAGTTTTAATAAGCTCTTGGGTTATTCCGTTTGTTCGAACAATTCACTGGGACCATCACTCAGAACAGTTAGAAGACGATTCATCAAAGTTCTGATTTGGAGTCTCCCACCGGAGGTTTTGATGAGAGATATGATTATCCGTCAAGAGGTGGAGGCAACCAGTGTGCACCGTTTGGTATATGTCACTGACTAATGAGTTTTGATGAAGATATGAATAACCCGCAAGAGGTGGAGGCAACCAGTGTGCACCGTTTGGTATATGTCACTGACTAATGAGCTTTCGAGGCGATGTTCTATAGTTCACACGGTGAAGTACTGATCACTAATACTAGTCTGATCAGCTTTTGAGCAGTAAACCAATGTTTTGTCTCCCCTGCACGTTGACGTTTTCAAGAAAATCTCTGCAAAATCTTGCGCAATCCACCGAATAAACTCTTCGAAAATCCTACTGACCTACAAAATTCTTGCAAAACACCCCTTTTTACCTAATTACTTGCTTTTTCATTAGGACTAAATATTTTATTTGGTGTGTTGTCTGGGAATATATATCCCTCATGCCACTATCATTGTTGAAAATATTCCCAAATCTGTAGAATCCGCCATTTCGTGGAAAACGCATTCGCTCTACACATAGTCAGAAACTATTTAGCTACTCATACCAGACATTCACAAGCTCAACTGCCATGGATTTGGTTGATGATCTCGTTTACATGCTTACCAAGTTGGATAGGTACTTTGCATCCAGTGTGCAGCTCGAACTGACAGCAGAGCGTAGCCGCGTTCGACATTCATGAGGTTCGGGTACCTGACATGGGAATAAATGAAAGGATACCTAATGTACGTCATTTTTCAACATAAACTGCGATCAGGCGAATATTCCCGGGGACATTAAAGTGGGAGGAACAAAACCTTATGATCTACCATTCGGGAACACCTAGGGGACTGTAAAACAGACATATATAGATTTTTATGGCTACCCAAACTGGACTTTATGGTGTCATGTGAAGGCGTGCGTGAAACTTTTCAAAGTTCAGACCAGTAGATTCTGCACAAGTTCCAAGCATTCTTGCGGAAAATTAAGTGCCTTGTGAGATAATTTTTTGTATAAGAGCACATTTACGGACGACACTTGTTCGCTGGTCACAAGTGCCCCTTATGTCCTTTTGCGACCGAGAATTCACTGCTTAGTTGGAATCTTGTATATCATCTAGAAACCATTTTTTGCGTTTCGCTTGTCGCGACAATTTCTGATACTACCACACTGGTTGACTTACCGTTTTACCAAGCCCCGTCGCTTGCACCAGTAGCTGACCTTATACTCGTTACCACTGATTTGTTGTGCTTCATTATGTTTTATATTGGTGGTTCTCGCCTCCAAAAAGACTTCCCATTGAATCCTGTACATGACAGCAGATAATTTTGGTATATTTCCCCCCTGAAATGCAGGAGGGCTCTCGCCTTTGTTATTAGTCGAGATGTAGCTAATAAAATGGCCTCCAGCTTTATGATAATCAAAGTGCACTTGAAGTTGCTTGCTTAAACTCTTCTTGCGTGATGCGGCCTTTCTGTGCCAAGGTGTGCTGGTTGGCACTTAAGGGATAAATCACTAGATTTGGCGCCCCAAGAAAGCTCTCTTTATCAGTCAAACGAA